CCCCATATGCTTCAAGTGTCTAGCATATTTTGCTTTATGGGAATTGGCAAGGAATCTCAGCTATTGCTAATAAAAGTTATTCCACACAGGATTTTTATCAATTTCTTACATTGGAAGGTCTGGGCCGGAGGGATGAGTCGAACTTAAGTTCTAAGTTCAGTTCAAATTCCTGATTTCCTCTTTTAATTTGAAAATGAAACAATTAGGAACAATTAATTGTGAGGATTCCATCTAGCAGATTCCTTTCAAACTGCAGGTCTAACTTGATATCTCAATGCAGGGATGACAAGTGAGGGGTGAAAATGTCAGAGAAAATTACACTGCGTTGATGGAAGTTTGCACTTCCCCAGTGCTGTTATAGGTTATAGGATGCCTCCTGGTGCTGAGATTATGAGGGTTTTAGTGGTTATGTACTGCGGAAGCTGTATGTGTTAAGAGATAAGAACTCCAGGCTTTCCAGATTACAGGGAATAGTTTATGACATAAAAGTCCTAATGCTAGCTCCATACATGCTACGGGTACATTTCAGTAGTCATAGATGTGGGTCATCAATCATTGTTAACAGCAGACCTGGGTTCTTTTTTGACTTCACGTTCCAAGGACAAGTAATCTTGAAAAATTACCTGTCTTTCATACAGAGCCATATGGTGCAGTAGATAACCTTCACCCTTATGTACAGGCAATAAACCATTTCTACTCATTCTATCTGTAATGGCATCTATACTGGGCGTGATTTTATGATATGAGACATCTTTTTTTATCCACGATGTACTTTTTATTGTGGCAGATAACAAATCCCTTTGTGATATCTTGGATTTCTAGACAACATAATTTTCTTTGCTTGTGAAACTCTTTATCTTGATAAATACGGTTAGAAAGTATTTTGCATGTACCAGTAGTTGTATATAATGTTCTGAGTCTTTGACAAAATGGAGATGGGTTGCCATACTAACTTCCAAGAAAAGTTGCAAAATCAGATCTAGAACATTATTCCTCGCCTGTGGAGTTCACTAAGCCTGTGGACTTGCCCATAAATATCTAGGTGCAATTCCATCTAAAATTGATGGCAAATGACTGCACAGTGATTTCTCAGCATTGTGCAAGTTTCTTGTGGGCCAGAGAGTTATGATGGTGCTAATCTCACTGAGTACCTGAGTGGCTTATTACAAATCATTCTGTATAGGAAAGCATAATATCTCAATCTGGCGTGCCTGGGACAATCTGGCATATTTTTTTATCCCCTGTGTACAGAGTTTTCATATCTTGTGTGTTTGTCTGCGTGTTGGCTGATGTTTCTATTCAAGTTATTTTTACATACTAGGCAAGTCATGGACACTGAGATAAAGTCAGGTCAAGGGTCCCAGAAAAGGTTATCTTATTTCCTATCCTCGATTTTCTGCTATACTGTATATGCCTTTTGACAGTTTCCTTATAGCCAATGGGGAAAGGCATAAGACAGAATCAGCAAGTTATCCACAATAATAAATAAAACAAGATATTATATTCACTTATAATTAACTCTTAACTTGTTAAAGGTGATATACAGGTAGTGTACATGTATTACCTATACACATTCATTTTTTTCCAGTAAATATAGCTAAAAAATAAATAAATTGAATGATTGATGTCTCATTTAGTGTCCACGCAATTCAATAGATATCAATCAGAAATTGCCAGGAATATTATTCACATGACAAATGAAATTTGATGTGATCAAAACAATTAAGTCGGCAATATCAATTCCTTGCTGACTGTTATCACATACAGCAAGGATGGCTCATAAATATGCCTTTACCGATAAGGATTCCAAATTACACCATGCTGCTTTTATAATCAAGCATTAAATTACTTTTTGAAATTGCTTTCTTGCTGCTGTCACAGTATACTATTATGTTCTATAATGTGCGTACCTTGGTGCCTGATATGAAAGTCATAAATCTTTGAGAAAATACTTTGTAGTATAAAAGTATAAACTGTTACCCAGCAGTCTCTCAGTCTTTTGATTTGGAGCAAATTATAGAAATCCAAAAAAATACCTATAGCTACTGAACTCTCTCTGTAGATGTTCTTGATCTGATTTTTTAATACGGACATGTTGTTTGATCCTATTTAAGGCCATGACTTTTGTTTTATGTGAAATACATTTGTAGCTACATGTTTTCACCACACGTTTTCTCCCACCATCCCCTTCTAAAGATTAATGTTCATATATGTGTGTAGCTTGACTTTGATCGCGACTTCCAATGAATTAAAGCACTGACGATAAACCTGTTATGTTAACATACAGGCGCTATAAATTCCATCCCGGAATCATGTACAGCATATCGCATATTAAGGTAATTTAGTAAAGAGAGTACGGATGTTTGGCAGAGGTCCCACCAGCATATCAAGCTGACAAGAAACTGATTTATCTAAGTAGGCCAATCCATAATGTATGATAACCTTTCTCACCCATGGAAATATATCGAAATATTGATTATAAGAATCATAAATATTGTCTTGAGACATAAGAATGAAGGTATCCCATTAACCTTGTTACTTAAAGAAATGCCATAAGATATTAATCAAGAAAGATTAGAATAGTATGTAATAACACATAAACACATAAACACACTTAGCACAATCCACTTAGAGTAGGGAATTTTTAATATCAGATAAGAATGTATATATATCCTGCACAATTCACTTAGAGAATTTTCAATAATAAGAATGTATCCTGTATTGTAAGAGTATTTTGAAAAGCTTTCATGTTTGCAAAGTGACCTACACAAGTTTGTTTGAATGCCGCACAGTACACAGGCATTTCGCAGCAGGTGATCTTTTGACCGTTTTTCCCCAGCGCCATGTGTTTAAGCCAATGACAGGGGAGCACTCTACCTCCGCGCTGAAAGCTAAACTGGGTGGTTATAACAAATCATAGGCTGCAGGCCTGATAGAGAGGGCACATGAAAGAGTAACCCCATAAATATGGCGCAATGATTCCCGAGCCGATGGGAACATTTTTATTACGGCGACTTCCCCCCAAGGGCAACGTTGTCTGTGGTGTTGTTTCTCACGTGGTGTAAAGGTGACCCAGAGGTTACTGGTACAATCGTGATGGCTTTTCCATAAAGTTTGCAATTTTAAGAAGACTGTATTTAAACACACCAGGCGCCATCTTTGCTTTTTCCCTTGCATTTTTTAGTTAAATGTTGGTAAGACTAGCTGAATCTTTGGACTGTTGCTGAATTCGAATTGACGTTATACAACAAAGTTGGCCTCCATGGTGTATTCTTTAATTGCACTCTTTTTAAGGTTTGTTGGGGGAATCGTTTTCTAGAATGGGCAAAATCAAATTGCTAACCTTTATCACGTATGGTGACCTTTTTATAATAGCTTCTGACTTTAGTCACATTGACCAATAGGAAGCGTAGCAAATGTGCTTTAAAATGTACTCTCTTGTGCCCTCTTGTTTCTGGTTTGAGACCAAAAACTTATTGAAGGACCCATGGTACATGCACTGTATAACCGTGTTATGAAAGGATTCTAAATGTAAAGAATTACCTGTATGAATGACTGATGGTCTCCCCATAACCTGTAGAGCCTGCGCTGTATTCACAGACGTGGGTGGGACGTTTCTACCCAGAGGCGTCGATTACAGGTGGCTCAATGTCTGGTAATGCTTGGCTGCAGATTGTGAGCCATTTATAAAACGCCCACCTCCCAGGCAATTGGGAGGACGCCACGCTAGGACGGTCTGAATGCTATCATTCAATTTATTAGAATTGTAACAATTTGTATTTTTCTTTCCATATGCGTGCTCCTATTTTTCAGGTGGTGTTGGGGTAGGGGTAGCTCTTGAAAAATGTTTGAAGTTTGGCTACAAGTATTAATCATGAATGTAAGGCCCCTTTTCCCTGTAATACATGTACAATGTACAAATGTAGGTAATTCATCTGCAGTTGCAGAATGATCCTCCTAAGCAGGCTCATTGTCAGGCTGCACTCTTTGTAATTTAGCGAATGTACGGCATGTTAACCATGGTAATCTAGCTTTTTGGAGACAAAAGTGTACACTTATTCCAGTCTGTTAGAGAACGTTTCAAAGTCGAAGCACAGAATTACGTACTAGGTAGAGCGCCTTGTATCCTATCTGCCATGTCACAGCTACACGTTGACATTCAAGCAGGTACAATGTAACACTTTGCTCCACGTATTTGGGTTTTGAAAGGTGTCCCAACAGTATCGGTCTTAGCGGTCAAGCCTTTTAGCTCATAACGATTTATTCAAGTTAGGCATACAGATGTTGCTGGTACTTAATGCTTAGGCCATCATAATGTGGCAATGCTAGCATTGAATCAATGTCAATGGTTTAGGCTGTTCCATTTTGAAATTTCTATACGGGGCACACAGGAAAGATTTTGACCCCCCTTTCAATTTCACTTATTCTAAACCATACTATCATGGTATAAAATGTGAACCCAGTAGTCAGCTAAATTTATTTTGAAAATAAAACCTTTCCAGAACGTTCCCTATTTGAAATGGAGTTGTCCGTAGCCACGTTTGTAGGTTTGAAAACCATCCAAAAACAGATTCAGAGCTTGAGCAGGATATGTCCACATCTCTAAGTTTGTGTTTAAATAGATACACTGTGTGTTACACAATGTGTTAGGAGTATTTGACTACTTCATGTTCGTTTACCATTACAGTATGATGTTCTGTTAATCTGTTTGAAATGTGCTTTTGAGCTGCTTTACTTATTCATGAATTTTGGATACTATTAGACATACCCAGGTTAGGCATGATATACTGCAGTGTGGGCGTTTTGAACAAGGTAAAGGTCAGAGCAAGAAGTTGTAGCAAAGAAATACTGAGATATTACATGCATTATTAATATAATAATTATACAGTTGCCAATATGCAATCTTTATTGATTTCAGCGGCTGTACTACTAGTAAGAAATATCTTTTTTATAGACACGTTTATATTTAATGTTAACAATATAAATTTTTCATCCAACAGATCGTGTAAATAGGAACAGATTATAAACCACAACACGGCAAACATGGCAGAAGGTGGCGACAGCAGACCGCCATCCACAGACCCCCTGGAGGCTGAGGGGGGTACTGCAACCATGGACAGTACCAGGGGCAGCGGGCGGCCGCTCCTCAGGAGCATCAGCGCTTTCACACAGAGGCAGTTCTCACGACCAGCCACACAGAGACAGTATTCCACTGCTTCAACTACTGTTAGCAGGTAAGAATTTCATTGTTTGTTGTGAAAAAAGAAAACTACTGAAATGGAAAATTTAGAAAAGGTGTTAGAGAAAATGGGTAAAAAGTTCCACACTGATGCAGGAAATGACATGGATTTTATTATTTCTCCAAGCAGTACTTAAAATTTCTTCACTAACCCTATGTTTGGACAGCTCAACCTAATATTTGTTCCAACAACCCTGTATTTCAACATGGGGGTGTCAGAAGACAGGGCTGTTGCTGTTACAAAAAATTCTAGGAAAGTCTAGAAAATCGAGGAAAGAAATTCTAGAAAAGGCTTCATTTGCTTGGCACGAAGCATCTATGGGGACCACCAGCTACATGTATGAATATATCTATCTTAGGCCACACCAATTTAATTTCTTGGTTAACGGATTTTTCTAGAAAAAAAATGGAGCGGGCGGGCGAAAAAAAAATAAAAATAAAAATTTGAGACCACCTGCCATACAGCCATGTAGTAAGCAATCCATTAAGTTAAGTTACAAAATGATATAAGACATTATATTAGACACTTATTGAACTGAAAGGACCATTACTACATGTACATGAGCAACTTCTCTTACATCCCTTTACAATTATTCGTATTATTTTGCAAGATACACATCTTTACTGTATGAACAACAAACTGTCCGTTGACAAGACTCCCATCCAACTGGTTTCACTTTTATTCATCTTTCAAAGTTCCAAGAGTGGTTTAAATCAGGGTGCTCTGTTCAGATCCCATTGTTCTTAGTTCAGGGCACACAGCTTACCACTGGGCTGGGCATTCTATTGTGTCTGGCTGATATGGAAGTTATTTAGAGCTTGAAATTTACAATATCCTAAATATATGCTTTAGACAAATTTCCAGGAATGTGTAAAAGTTATTGGCAAAAGAATTAACTACTTTTACAGATATTTTATTTCTTCTTTTATCTTTCCCCAATTCCCAAATACTACCGGTAGTATACATTTTATATTTCCCATTTTTCACTTTAGGTATGCTACAGCTACATTATACATAGCCATCATTCAAACAAATAGCCACATTGACACACTCTTCAAGTTGCCACAAATTCAATGGTCTAGGGTTTCACTATAAAGTCTTTGATGTATGGGGGTTTTTATTTGTAGGGGGAACCATTTTATTAAAGAATTTAGATGTAATAATTGATGTATTATTTGCAATTGTACTCCTGTTTATAGGTATCTAAATAAGATGTAACTTTGTTAGAATGCCACATGCACAAGTAGTATTTTTCACAGAGTAATTTCTATAATTAAAAGAACCTGTTTCCCCCTACTCAAAGTGGACTCTTCCGACCGTGAGAAATAGTGAATGGACTTACGTGCATGGAGGACTTCTTACTTTGCCAAATTCTCATGTTTGTGGTAGGATTTTGTACTTTTTGAGAGTAATACAGTTTGTGATGCCAGAATACATTGTTATGTCGTGTTATTTTTACATATTCCCTGGAAAAAAAGATCGTTTTGAAGGTGTGTGTGCATGTGCCGCTCAGGCCGAGTTTATACGTTCGGCCGATTACATTGTACTTTTAACGCCCGTTACTAGCACATGTTTCCGACACAATACGTGTTTCTAAATGAAATATAATATATATCTAAAAGGGAGATGATATGTTGTTACAGGTAAACTTG